ACCCAGAAAGAAAAACTTCTGAAAGCAGATGTTCAGCATTCCCTCTCGTCCCCGGCCCTCTCTGCGGTTGCCCTGTTCATATTTCATCATAATTGGCCAACAAATCAAGACAAAATGAGAGTCAGCCTTTGTTGTGGAAACCACAGAGAGCCCCAGTGATTTACCGACAGGCGGCCCCTCTCATGATTTCTCTCTGGGACTGTCTGTCTGTGTCTTTCCCGCTGTATCTACATATACGGCATCTTAGCTCTCCATCTCCACGTTGCCTTATCTGCACTGAGAACAAAAAGCCTTGAAAAAAAAAAACAAAAAAAAACCTGGGCTGGTGTAGGACCGATGATAGATTACTTGACCACAGTCACATCACGGGTTTATATATAGATTGATGTGTTCTCTATAATGATGGACCTTTACAGTAACACCTCTGAATCATCTCTGTGTAGGTGTGTGTAGCTGCAGGGCAGTATTATTCACCGTGATACACTTTTATATGCTGCAACTGGACTTATTCAGAGCAGTATTTTCATTGTTGTTTTTATTTTCAAGTCTCCATATGTATTACATTTCATTTAGTAGTCGTGTGCATACAAAATGTTCACAGGACAATCATGCATTGCACAAAGCACAACCTTTCTTCTTTAGCCAGTCTCTTCTCTTTGATTGGGAGTCAAATCTGTCCATCACAGCTCTGATTGGCACCTTGCGTGTAAAAGGCAGAGTTATTGGGATTTAGCCCGGGGCGCCTGCGGTCAGCACAATATGTGTACTATAAATAATTTGACTGTGTATGTCTTGTGATTGTGGAAGCAGGGAGTGAGAGAGAGAGAGAGAGAGAGAGAGAGCGAGCGAGAGAGAGAGCGCTGTACACACACTGGGCTCAGGGTTTCCTCTCCTGTGAGCGTCTGCAGTCAGAGTGCAGGTACAATGGGGAGCATTGTTCAGCTGGCAGGCCCCTGCGTGCCGGCTCCCCCCTCCGTACCTGAGCTCAGAGACAGGTGTATTTCTCCTAGTCACGCATAGCCCTGCCACACTCCCAGCTGCCTACACACTGCTTGCCCCTGAGATCACACACACACACACACACACACACACACACACGCATGCGCACACACACACCTAGAAAAGCATCCAGACAAAGGCTAGCATATAAATACGTGCTGATTGCAGATACTAAATTTTTTTTTCCTCATACTAGGTCCTTTATTGAACCCTTAGCCTTACCTTAAACCAACCTCAAGAAAGACCCTTTTACAAATTACAAGGCAAAGCAAATAAAAAAATTACAAAATTTGCATCTACAGCTGCACACTCGGCACAGTATTTTCATGTAGGAAATTTAGGTGTTCTCTGTTGATAATTAGCACTTTAAAATTTGGTGTTTATAAGTTTTTCCCCTTTGACACAGAAACCTAATAAGCCAAGGCACCTGCAGGTAAAGAATTCTCATGAACACACTATGGTAAGGCTCCAGGAAGGGTGTGTTTGTCCAAAGAAATCTCCCCTTTTGCCCAGTGTAAGAGTGTGTGTTAGGGAGCAAGGAGGAATGAGTCATGCACATGTCAGTCGTACTGTGCAGCCACTCCGGCCAAAAGTTCATTTAATTTCTCCTCAAGTGGGAAAACATGTTTGAGTACGCATTCGAACCCTTGTTATAGTTTGACATCTCAATGCAGGGTGAGAGGGAAAAGGCCTGAAGGGAGCATTGGATAAAGGGAGATGGCGACAAGCTCAGGATAAAGGAAATGATTACCAAAATCTTAATGGTTAGCACCAATCAAATTTGAAAAATAACATGGTAGGAGGGTTGGCGGTAGCAGCGATGGTGATGGTCATTGATTACATGGTTTCCTTTTGAAAGAGCCTCCCTTCCACAGGGCTGACTCCCTGAGGTGCTGGAGGGAGTCCAGCACTATCAGTCTCATAGCACAAGAGGATTAGCTCTTTATCCTGGCTGATTCTAAAGAAAAGAGGTACACGCCACATTATGTCTTATTATATAGAGCAGGCACAAGCCATTTTTTTTAACCAGTTTTCACATGAGTAATCTGCACCCACGTCACTCTGAAACCTCGCCGTGACCCCTCGTTTAGCTTCACTCTGCCCGTTCCCACGCCGAGGCCAGAAAAAAACCTGATGGAAGTCCGCGTGTTGGCCGTACATGAAATCACACGAGCTGCCAGCACTGAGTCCAACCTCAGGCTTCCTGGCTGATATTTACCAAATTAATTCCCAGGCGGATGTAGAAATAATAACACCCATGAAAAGTGGGAGAGTGAGAGAGAGCTAGCGGGCGTGTGGTGGGGACCATGCCAGTGAAAGGGCATACTGTTGTTGGGAAATACTTGTCATTTTCTCATCTACCCCTTGGTTTCCATGACGTCACCCCCCCCCCTCTAATAATGCAGCTCACATCATACTATAAGATGGGCTGGTCTAGTTAAACAGCCACAGTATGGCCTGCATCATTGTAACCTTCTCTGTCTTTTGGTCTCATAGGCTCTTGCTCTCTATCCTGTCGCTGGAGTTTGGGCACTCAGAGCCACATAAGGAAACATTTGTTCCCAGTCTAGTTGAATAGAGCCTTGTGTTGGAGGTAGTCAAAGAGATACAAGGGGATAGGACATCCAAACAGTCCAACACAAGAGCTCTGCTCTGAAGCCCCTCTCTGTCTGAGCCGGGCCAGTAATGAATGTCCTCTAGTCTTAATCACTCTGAGAGCACACACTGGAGATATGACTGACTCCATTGTCCTCCTCTTTATGTTTTGTATGTTGAAAGCAGAAGTCGTAGAGGTCATCGCTCCCAGTAAATATTAGATTTGTTTCACCAACACCAGGTGGTCACAGTGACACTTACACGGGCTCGTTGTGCAGAGTAGATTCCCAAGTGTTGCAGATTTTACAGTCGTGTGACAGTGTGAATGTACTAACCAACTTCTTTTTATACTGCTTCAAAAAAAAATATCTGGAGCTCCTCTTCACTCACTCAGCCTTGTTGCCCCTGGACTCTCTGATGCATTCCTCCATTTTCTCCCGTACCATCTGTTGCGAGCGGCGTTCAGAATGGGTTTTGTGCTCTCTGGATATGATTATCCTTGTCACACCAATCTGGAAAACATTTGTGTCCACATTAGCAGCATACCTACATACATACACACACTGGCGCGAGTGGAGACATGGTGGAGGACGATGCGCATGAAGTGGGAACACAAACACACACGCACACACACACACTTGGACGCACTTGCATACACACATAGGGAAGCCCGCAGACGCACATGCACACAATGAGAAATAATGTGTTTTCATTTCATTTGGCTCTGTTTTGAGGCTGACTGATTGATGAACATAAAAAAAGAGTGACCTGCTGGCCGTGTTGTTAAAATTCATCACATAGTTTCTGATAAGAGATAATTACCTCTTAATTACCTCTACAAGATAATTACCTCTACTAATACTTTAATTCAGCCTTGAATGAATAATGAGGTAAGGGGGAACTTTTTTGCAAGAAGGGGTCAACACAGTGAACCAGATAAAAATGTGTAACCTTCCTTTTCTTTCTTTCTTTCTTTTTTTTTTCTTAAAAGGAAAAAAAAAACTCTCACACAGCAGCGGTGGCTTAGGAATGTGAGACAGGAATGCTGTTGAGTTACTATAAAGGGGGTTTGATCACTGAAAACAATGTCTTTGTGTTTTCATCCCCAGCCCTAGTCACGCAATGCTGTGTGCGCAAACCTCCAGCAACTTTTCAACCCCGGCACACAAGAAAGCCATCAAGTACCTGCAATTGACAGAATCGCGTGCAATTCAGGTACTCCTGGATTGTGCTGGAGCCCGGCCAAATGGGGAGTTACGGAAAAGGTGGAGTGGAGCTTCACCTGCCTAAAATGTAAGGCACACTGCGACACACCAGTCATAGTGGTGTGGTGGAGGGGAAAGCCACTTTAACTCAGTGTTATGCTGACAAGCAATCGAATGATCTAAATTCCTATGTAGATGTAACATATAACTGATAAAATATTGTTTTGTTAGTTCTTTGGGGGAAAATATGTTTTCTGAAACGTCACTGGATTTTTTTTATTGTTTGCCTAATGATGATCACTTGTTTAAGTCAGAGTTTACCCACGTTATCTCAGCTATGTGATGACTTAAATGGTTTTATTGCAGTGACATTAAAACGATATCGGTATGCTTTTATTCCCAAATGATTATTAAATGCAGATATTCTCTTAAATCAGTCCAGACAAATCCATGAATGATGACAGATATTATAAAGAGTTTTTGGATCTGATAGACATTTAATGAAACCTTCAGTAATGCTCTGATTGTAAGTCTTTGACTCTGTGCTCCGTTCCTCAGGATCCAGTCCTTGTTTTGAGGTTTAAGGGAAGCTATGATCCCAGAAATACAAGCAAGCCTGGAGGTGGTTAGGACATGAAAGTGAGGTAAGAAAGACAAGAGATTCATTCATGGGAAGGTGATTCAAGGCACCGACTTCCCTGTATCTCTGCACAGCGACAGATGATCATTATTACTCACACTGCTCACACAGGGCTCACACGCAAGCTGGGATCAAACTGACAGATGATGAGTGACTGAAACAAGATTATAACGGCCTATGTTCATGACATAATAACTTACTTATTATTATTATTCTTATTATTATTCTTATTATTAACAATAATAAGAATAATAATAAAACTGAAGTGATGCTAAAAGCAATTTTTACATTGTGTTGCTTTAATTAAAGTAAGCTAAATTAATTCTAGTGTGCTCTCAGTTAAACTTTAATGCCATTGTATTTTGTTACAATATAATTCAATTTAACACTCACAAGTTTTAATCTGATATCATTCTCCTGTTTTAAAATATTTGCCAGCAACAATAATAAACTTCACTTACCATCATGCCTTGCGCGTCTACGTCGGGCTGAGCGCAGCATGTGCTTCACCGCTCTGTTCTCACTATGGCTCAGTGCTGCTCAGACTCTTCACAGGAGCGCATCGCACCCGCGGCAGGGAGGCTCGTTGGAGCTGAAGCAGGGAACCATCACTGCACCGGACCGTAAAGAGGAACCAGGTTCTTTCACTGTCGCTTATTGGAAATAATCACACTGATCGATCTGCCTTGATTTGCCAGAGCACAAATCAGTTTACGCAAGGATTCTTTGGGAGAGGATTAAATGCTAACATTAGAGCACTGACACGCGTGGAGCTATTATTGTTATTATTGTTATTATCATTGGTAAAACTTGATCACGATGACAACAGCTGCTGGATTCAACAGTCCAGCTGTGGATCGCCCTGGAGGATATAAGGAAATACTGTCTCTTACACGGGATGAACGGTGTCTTAACACTGCCGCTGCCCCAAGTCCTGCTGCTGGACAAGCTGTTTTGTTGGACACACGAGTCTCTTGGGATATTTCACGCGTGTTCGCGGGTGGCCAGTGTTGTAGATGGCCGATAACGTGATATGCTTTTGGAAATTTGTTGTGGTGGATTTTGGCGCACGGGAAAGGAATATCCTGGAATATATTTTGGAAGCGATGCTCAGCAGATGTCCAGCGATTTGGATAATGACAGTGCGCATCAACTCATCCAGCAGGTAAGTGACAGAGCAAAACTTCTACCTCTTAAGAGTGAAAGGTTAAGTGTAGTCTCAGTTACTGTTAAAAGTTCATGGTGTCATTTATTTTTATTTTTAAACGTGCAGCTTAAGCCCTTAGTTTTTCAAAGGGTCCCAATGAGGAATAAATGAATTTAATCACCTATAATTTCACAAATACAATAAAATGTTAACAGTGGCTGTTTTGACCAAAGGTTTCGATCGTTATCTCCCTACACACCCATTTGGCCTACATCTTCATTACCAAATTACACCTAACAATCAAACTTCTCCCACGGGATTCCTCAGGAGAAACTCTTTTATCAAGTTGGGCTCTATGTCTAATTTATGTCTGTGGAGATGGGCGTGCGTTTGATTTGAAGAGCCTGGTCAAACTCCCGGTCTGCTCCACATGTGTAGGTTCACCTGTTCACTGCTCCGTTATTCTCTGGGTTCATCAGGCGCACATCCCTCGCTCTCAAAACCGACTCAATGTGACCTTAATTGTATTTCAGACGCTTCAGTTGAACACTGACGCTGCTTGACATCCGCACTCGAAATCTACCCTGTTTTTTAAACGTACACCTTTATAACCTGTCCATACACCTGCGCTGCCAGGTGTCCACAGAGCCATGACCTGTCATAAGTTGTGAAAGACCAGGTGCAGCAGCTTAAATAAAAGGTGTGGGTACAGTGTCCATAGAAAGCAATATGTAGTCCACCCCACCTCTCCCACAGTGACTCCATTCAGGTGAGAGCACATGTGTTTTGAGCTCCAGAACTTTGCCCACAGGGAGGCCTGTCATTAGTGCACCTCCCTGACACACGTATTTAACGTATGAGAGATAAAAATCCATGATGTTGTTACAACGGAAGATCTTGTTTTAGATGCTTCATTTGAGTGGAACCTACAGGCGCATGTGACCATATTCACTGGTGAACCTTTTCACTCCGGGTCATGAGAGTGTTTGTACCTGTTCTGCGAGTTGGCCTTTCCATCTGTAAGGAGCATACAGTGATATAATGACGGTGCATTCATAGTAGGTGTGTGTGTGTGTGTGTGTGTGTGTGTGTGTGTGTGTGTGTGTGTGTGTGTGCAAGTAATCTGAAGGAGCTTCCCTTCACTCAACCCCATCCACTTCCTTAGCAATAAAGAATTCCATCTATTGTTGGGGCAGGGGACAGAGCCCCACTATATGTCTGTATACAGCGCAGAGCGCAGACCGAGCACCACCGCTCTAACTCAGCACCCCTCCCCTCCCACACACCCCCTCCATTAAAAATCTTCTCCAAACAAGACCCCCTTTCTCCACTGAAGAGGGACCCTCTGTCTAATGCCAAGTGACTCTCATGGCCAGCATTGACGGTGGGACACTTGCCTCACAAAAGGAGCTGAAGTGTCAAATAAACTCGGTCAGAGCCCCCGACACACAAGAATTCCTTTATCTGGCACCCTGGGAGGCAGACAAAGACAGACTTTGTGTCAGTGAGCAGGCCTTGACTAAACACTGGGGCTTTTTTTTTTTTTTTTTGTTTTTTTTTTTAACTCCTCTTCTCACAACTTCTGCCTCTTCTTCCTCCTCCTCCTTTTGTCATTTGAACGGCGGAGCGGGAGCATGCCTGTTGACGTGACCCCCGCTCACCCAGCATCTGTCCTGCACATGGCCAACATCACCCCTGTGCTGTGTCAGCTCCATGCAAGCGCAGATGCACACATGCACACCCACTTGCATACGCCCACGACTGTCTGTTAGACATCAAAGCAGCCATAACATTGCAGTGGATGTAATTCCTTTTTGATACTTTTGTTTATGTCTTGGCCTGTAGCTGAGAATAGTAAAGCAGGAATTTGCTTTCTCACAGGGCTGAATGTGCTGGCTGTGCTGTCATATGATATGCTTGTGGTGAACCGCAGTCGAGAGCCATATACACACCAGGCTCAGACTCACTTAAAAATCCCTGTATTTACTCCACTCAACATTTCCGAGGAACTTTCCCATCACTTTCAATTTTTTGACTTCAGATTCAGCTGTATTGTCATCTGTTTGGTTCTAATTCCAGACCTTCAGTTTTGTCATTTTGTCACAAGTTGCAGATTTTTATTAGATAATTAAAGCCAGTTTCTGTTGCCTTTTTAATGTCATCTGGACTAATTGGAAAATACACACTTCAGACTAAACAAACTCACACTTTTTCCTCATTAAAGGTGCTATTCAGTGATTCTATAGAGCTCTATAGTCTGGCCCTTAAACTTAAATACCTAGTCTGTATCAAAGTGACCCCAAAGTGCTGGAAAATGACCTCATGCAATGTTGAGACGACGTTGAAGCAGCACCACTGAGACAATGTTGTGGCCCAGAGCAGTTGCTGGCCGGCCCCCAGTGATGGACGTGTGCATCAGGCCCCCAGGCATGCTAACACAGGCCTGCCCAGAGAGCCATAGCCCCCCCCAGCACAGTGGTTTAGGTAAACAGATCAAGTTGCTGTGGTCGAGTGTGTTAATGGTGTGTTTATGAGCTTAAGTTGAGTGGTGATTTATCATGTCTAAACTCAGGGCTCACCTCTGGTCCTTGGCCTTGATCGAGCTCTGTGAGTGTGTGTGTGTGAGTGTTTGTATGTGACATTGCACACAGGTGACAACACTGACTGAGCAGCGTGACCTCCTGGTGAACTGTGTCTCAGTGTCACGACTGTTTCCGACCACTGAGGGGGAAATGGAAAGCGATAGAAACGTTTATTACGCATTAATTACGCCCTGTTTTTGTAGAAAATGTGCCCTCAGCATTACCTCATCAGGTCTGCGGGGCACAGGGCTCAAATCACAGGAAAATATCCTTCCATCATTAGTGTCAGATAACCTTTTAATGAGCTCCATGAGAAATATCAGGCTGTAAAAAAGCTGTTGTGTATCCTTTCATATAGAGCACCATTTACACTCAGTTTGTGTGTCTGTATGTGTGTGTATGTGTGTTTAGAATGGGCTCTAAAGTTTGTCTGAACAGGAGAACTGTCATTTATTAGTAGTGCAGGAACAATGGGGAGCTTGTCTCCGGGGGTGGTGGGAGCCAGAGGGGGGCCAGAGGGGGCCGGTGGAGCCAGGGGAGGGTGGCCTGAGATTGGGCAGCAGCCTCTGACCAAGAACAAGCCCCTGTCTGATGGAGAGAACTGCTGACCCTTCCTGAGTAAAATGGCACCTTTGTTTCGAGGTGTATGTGTTTGTGCCTATGTGTTTATGTGTGTGTGAGAGGGAGAAGGAGAGAGGGTTTGAAAAGCTTGGGAGCACTGTGTAAAAGTTTTTTTTTTCTTCCTCAGTACTTTGGTGATTTTCCCTCCATTTGTGATTTTCTCTTAGCTCCAAGTTTTGTGACAGATTCTCACAGTATTCTCTGTTACAAAAGCTTTTTAATTAACATTATTACCACAGCGGTCATCCTCTCTAGCAGCTGCCCACAATGGGAAATTTTACAGATGAAACGCACAAAGTTTTGAAGGTTAGTTTTCACGCGGCTAGTTTTAAACCATTTACTCACAAAACCTTTTCCAGAGGTGTCCGAGCATGAGAAAGTACTTGTATTGATAAACACATTAGCGTGTCTATGATACTACACAACGCTATAGTCTTCAGTGATGCCATGACACCAGACCCCCTCTTCAGACTAATTAGCAATTTAGTGTTTTCATCTGGCCCGTTGCCGCCGTCTGAGTGGTGCTTTCCTCCTATAGGCCCATAAACAATTGTCTTCTCTCTAATGATGCTCATGAGGGAGAGAAATTGAAGGAAGGAGGAGAGAGAGGAGGAGTAAGTGCTGGTGGGTAATGGCAGCAGATTGCTGATTTCCGACAGGGAAACCACAGCTTAGAGAGTTGTGTGTGTGGGAGGGGGGTGCTATCCTGCTTTTGGGAGTTATCAGGAAGTGGGAGGTTGAGAGACACAGACAGCCAGTGCTTGAGTGAGAGTGTGGCAGGGTGCTTTAGAGGAAGTGGTGAACATGAGTGGGGATTCTTCAGAGTGATGCCTCTGGGTCCGACACTTAAAGTCTGTCGTCTTTGATAAAGCTCCCTCTGCACCTGGTGCTTACACCTTTTCAACTTACCTTTCAGCCATAGGGTTCGCCACTCCCTGTAGGGTGAAGAAATATGGCACACTTCCTCTGACTTTCATTTAAATCCTGCTATCCCTTCTGTCCTTGACCTCCTGCGCTAGCATAAAGAGAAAGAGAGCATAGGAGAGATGGAGAGCACAGAAAGGTGAAAAGATGGGATGGGTGGAGGACAGGATCTTTTCCTCGACATGCCCTCGACACAGAGAGAGTAAACAGCAAAGGCACACAGTGCAGCACAGGGGCATCTCTGTCGGCCCGGACGCAGACAGACAGCACTCCATTCAGGCCCCCGCCACAGGAAGGCTGCATGCGCCACCCACCTCGCTACAAGGACACTATGGATTTGCAGAACAGTAGTGAATAAGAGATGCTAAGAATAGTCAGAAAAAAAGAAGTTATACACGCAGGAGAGGAGGCCGCTGTGAAGCTAGGCAGTGCAGAAGTGTACTCTCTGTAGCGCAGGGTTTTCTTCACATGCCACAATACAGAGAGAGTGCATGAGATTTGTGATGATATTTTAATAGGGTTTTTTTTCAGTTTGTGTGCGTATGCAGCAGACAGGTGTCTACTCTAGAAAGGACTTTCAGGTATCTTCTTGACCTGCCTTGCATGCACAAAAATCAAAAATCATCTGCGATGGTTTGAATACCAGACATTCCTCCTTGTGTTTTCCCTCAGACTGACCTCTCTTGTTCTTCTCTTGCTCTTGTTTTGGAGGGAAAATTCCTCCCTTTGTTTTCCGCTCTCACAAATGTCACATTCCACTGAACCTGTGACCACATTGGGCCCTTTACTTTGGCGGGTGTTGGGTCACCATGGCAGCGTCCCAGGGCTCCAACGAGTCACACCTACACAAGTAAGCCATCCTCATTCAGGAGTTGGGTCTTTTTTTTTTTT